TGCAAAACCAGTTGTTTATTTGCGTGTTTAATTAAACCAACAATTTGTTTTAATATTATACAAATGGGAAAATAAAATAAATGCTAAGTGCTGCTTGGTAATAATAGTAAGTTAAATAAAATATTCTCAAATTCAAAATGAGAGAAAGAACTCATAATTTTAGATGGTCTGGAAATTTCAAATTGCCCAATGTTCAAACTACCCGTAAAAGTTTCTGTGTGTCTATATGTGGTGTAAAACTCTGGATCAGCCTGGATCCACATCTCAAGCAACGCCAAAATATCCATAAATTCAACTTGTTATATAAACACATGGTCTGGTCACAGTTTATAGAGAGTGGGTCTTAATATTAGAGCAACACTGCCTTCTTTTGTGCTGCTTTATGCTTGTTATTTCCGCACCATTGCTGAGATCCATTACCATTGTTGGCATCTTTAATTTTCCTGACCATTGTTTGTATGCCTTATGTATTACTGCAGTACAGTTATGTTACCAAACTATAAAAGTAACTGTTTGTCTGCACTTATAAATAGTTCATATAGTTTAATGTAAAATGTCCAAAAAATTTAAAGAAAGCTCATTGTGTTAAGAGGGGGGGTGGGATTAAATGAGTTTTCTTTTTCCCTCTCCTTTTGGGCCAATTTTTTATTTTTTGTTGTTGTTATTTCTGCTATAATTTCATGAATGTTATATATTCTATTGTAAAAGAATATACATTTCTTACTTACCCAAAATAAAATGCATAAATCATATCAAATAAGCAGCAAATGGATGAAATATTATGAAAAATAAATTCCAGGATGAACTGTTGTCAAGGCGACTGCCCTAACTATAAAGCACTGCGGGAAACACTGCCACCCCAATCACGGACGAGCTCCTTTGTGAATATTAAAGAGCCGAGCCTCCCGTGTAGCTGAACATGTAGTGGCAGAATGTAAACACACGCACATGCACATGCCGAACCGAACATCTCATACTGAAACGGTTCAACACGAATACATGTACCGTTACACCCCTTACAGTTTTAATATTAGGGATGTAACAGTAACCAAAATATCATGATATCGCATCGTCAAAGTTCTCACAATAATATCGTGGACCATCACAATATATCGAATTACAAATCTGTTTGCTGAAATTAAGAGTTATGGTGCAGCAATAGAAAAAATAAAACAGAGGGAACTACATAGACCATGATGCTTTGCTCCATTTCAGTGCCGACTACATGTAGAAATAACAGTTCTAAGCATTTTTAAGTCTTAGTTCTTTGGATTAAGAGGATTTTAAGAGGAAAACGTCGCATAATAACAGTTTTGTTAGCGTCCACAAAATATTGCAAATAAATATCGTACTGTGGCATGTATATTGAGAAAATATTGCACCGAGAGATTTGGATATTGTTAAATTTTTAATCGTGAGCCTCCCCAACATATCCTGAGCTTTCCCAATAAATATCGTACCGTGAAGTTCATACCGTGACGATATCGTATTGTGAAGTTGGATATCGTTACAACCCTAAATAATGCCGATCCACAACTCGCTATCATTTTGCAAGTTTTAATAAAAGGAGTCTCAAAGTTCACAATTTAAATAAAACTGATGTACAATACAAGAATCACATTTCAGAACATGGTTGTACAGATCTACTGTAAACTACACGTTAGCAGTTTGCGTGCAGATTAAAATCAGATATAATAAGATATTTAGTTGTTTATAGAGGAAAAACCTTTGCATGGGGCATTGTTTTGTAGCCTTGTGCTTGTTGCTTCAAAACTTGCCCCACTCAAATCAAAACACTATTGGTTTTATTTTTAAGGTATGCACTTTTGGACTCATCGTTATTGGGTGAACAGCGTCAGAAACTTTGCCCAGTGGTTACAGAACTCATCCATCAACCCACTTTTGTTGTGTTCTTGTGCAAAACAGTTCACCCACCTGTGTAAGAATGCAGCGTGCGTGCGTGCGTGTGTGTGAGTGATTACCGCTTGTCAGAGAGTTGATGGCGCAGATTGGCAGCCGTGCTTCTAGTGATAAATTATCGCTGAAGAATGTAGATTTCACTCATGCATTTTCCTAGTTTTCCCCAATTTACGATTCGTCTGGACCCAGGAATAAACATCTGGAAAGAGCAGAGTTTTTAGTCAATGTCCTGAACAAATTGTCCTGAGTCAAACTGGGTTGGAAACAAAAAGCTCTGAAGCCAAAAAGAACCAAGGGGATATAAGAAGTCCAAAACAACAACATTATCTTTGCACTGCATTTAAAGGGGATTGTTAAGAGTTTTAGTCATCAGGGGTCCAACAGCAGCCTGTGATCAGCATCAGGCATCTGTTTTTGTCTTCTTTTAGATAATTGCAATTTGAAGTTACTGGAAAGTCATTATTGGAGTCTTGATTCATTTGAGACGTCGAAAGAAATACTGTGATTTTTTAAAATAAAAGTCACATTATGAAAATATTTGACATAATTGTTTCTAATTAGTTAGTCAGTTGATCTTGTAATCTTATTTTTTGTCTTTACAATATAAAAATACAGGCTATATCAGGCATGCCCGACCAAGTTTTCTTGGCCCTCAGGGTTCCAGCTACTTTTTACAGCAAGTTTTTTTTTTTTTTTTTTTAAATCTATCCTCGGTATCAAATATTTAGTGTGTCCTATTGAAGATCTAAGCATCTGGTGGCTCAGTCTAACCTGTTTTATTGACCACCCAGTCTATGTGTATGTTTTATATGTGTTCCTAGATTAAAAAAAAAAAAAAAGTTTGGATGCCCCTGGGCAAGACACTTTCTATTTTAGACAATAGAATGTAATTTTCAAGTTTGGATACACAGCAAATTCAAGAGTGTCAAAGACTAGGTTAGGTTTAAGTTTAGGATTATTAGGTTAGTGCGAGGCGCGACGTTTGCGGGGCACACACAGGCTGATTTTTGCCGCTTCTTTCTATTTATTTTTACAACATACTACCAACTTTTTGATTCAGATAATTTTTATAACTATAATAATTATTCTACCATAACACGGTGAAAACAACTAACCCTAACCCAAGTATAAGAGCTAAGGTAACGAATGGTAACCTGCCTTCACCTTCACTTTAGCACCGGGGTCTGAGTATGTCATGGCCATTTGATTTTCGTTTGGAAATGGGAAATCAGCAGCGGATGCAGGGAGAGATGGGGTCGTGTGAGGGTGTTTGGATCTGGACAGCGTGAGATCCTAGACTTGTTGTCTGTGGCAGAGTCCTGCACCAACGGGCACCGCAAATAGTTGTTGAAACAGGGCGGGTTTTAACATGGTGGAATTTTACGGGTGGGTATGTGGGCCGGTAGTGATTACACACGAGCAGGTCAGGTGAAATCAAATGAACGCCGAACGGGAGAAAAATATTGACACACATCCAGGACGTCCATTGCTATGGAAACAAGTGCCATTTGATATAATCCTGGGTTAACGGGGGTGTGGTGCTGAACTGTGCTGGTGCGGAGGAGTGTGGGTCTCCAATAATGCACCCATGCAGGACTCTCGGGACGGAACAAGGGCAGGGCGGTACTCACCTGGTTTAGGCCTATGTGGGTGTCAGGTCAGACCTGGTCAAGTCCGGTTTTAGTCCTTGTTTAGAGACGATTCCACCTCCTTTGGTGCTCAGTCCACTCAAGGCTCAAAGTCATTTCAACACGAAAATCAAATGCAATGTACACGGACTCAAGAGCCCTGCATGCACATGAATCTCTGTCGCGTTTTTTCCTTGTTCAAGTAGCAGAATCATCAGCGGAACATTATTCACTATAAATACGCTTTTCTTGCACATTTGATAACTTCATAACTCAGAAAAGCATGCACAAGGCCATCTGTAGCTCTCCCACTGGAAACGTTACAAAAACCCAACAATGATGTAGTGTAACATTCACAACACATCATTTGTAAGTGTTTGACATCAACACTGTGAATGAACAACTACTTATAGTTGAAATAACTCTTGACTCTGCTGAAATTGGATTTTCTTTACTTTACTCACAACAACACCAACACCGTGAATTTAACACTTTTGAATTTCCTGTGTATAAATCAAGATCATTTTTAAAACAGTTCATATTTTTCTCGTATCGACCTCTGCTCAAATGAGTGTCTTAGTTAATAGTGTCAGTATCAGTTTGTGTGTAATTTGCAACCTTAATTCTCATGTTGCAGTTTTCACTTTCCGTTAAGCTGTTTTAGTTCAGTCTGAGTCCCTTTCTCTGTGGACGTGGGGCAGCTCTGTGTCTAAGTGTTGAATAAATGATGGAAATGTGATGCTGCTGCTGCAGTCTCTGCAGAGCTGCTCTAACACAAGGGCACCAGGACTCTGTGTTTGGACCATTGCCCCTGCACACTCATCCTCCCTGCTGCTCGGTCAAAAACAAACACGGTTTTCACGTTAATCACAGCCGGTATAAGGTCACGATGATAACAAACTTTAAAGAGTGTTATATTACTACAGAAAAAAAATCAAGAAAACTGCAATTGAGTTTAAATCACAATTTGAATGGACGCAAATTATACAGGCTGCTGTTTTAAGTGCCATCATTTTCTCCACAAACAACTAAATATCCTGGCTTATTCTGCATAAAAACTTCTAACCCTTTAGTTCGGATCTGGTCAAACATGTTCTGAAATGTGATTCTTTTATTAGTTTGTCAGTTCATCTTTTATGCAGATTTTTCTGGACATATTTAAATGATGAACTTTGAGAATCTTTTCATTAAAAACTCAAATCACAATTGCAAAGCTTGTCAGAAAAGTCGATAAAAAACAAAAAATTACACAATAATCCTAAACCAGTATAATCCCAGTAAATGTTTTTGCCACATTTAACTGCTGTTTTGAACTATGTCGGTCGGGTCTCTGTTCTGTGGAGGTATAAACAACATAACTCTCTGATAAGAAACAAGTTGTGTAATTTGGATTTCATAGGAGTATAAAACAGAAAAGTTAATAATGAATGTGTTTTTTTTATTGTGTTGCAGACAGAACAGCAGTTTCATCTCTGGGCCTGGCTGCTTAGTTTGTGTTCGTGGAGATTTCTGGAGTTCATTGTGAAGCTGAGATCACCTTCATATGAGAAAGACGACTCCAACAACAGGTGAGATTCCACAGAAGTGTCACCTGTTTATTTTATTGTAGTTTGACTGAAAAGGAGATTTATGCATGGATTTACCAGGTGGTATTAGGTGTACAGAGGTGCTTGGTTGTGGTTCAAGGTGTGCATTTTTTTTCTTCATAGGATGTGCTTGGCTATCGGGAAGTGTGTGTTGAGTAAATTTTCGTTTTCATGCAGTTTTTCAAATAAATAATAATAAACATTAGTCAAATATAATAACCTGAGAAGGAAATGAATCCGTGTATCATTCGTTCATTCGTTTTTCAATATAAAACCAAAAATAAGAAAATGAAAAAACAACTGTTTTCTTCGTTATTTGTCTCCAAAACCAAAATGAAAAAACAGATAACGATTCGTTTTTTCAGTTTTCGATTTTATGTTTCAATGAAGAATGGAAAAAAGGGATAACGGCCGTTTCCCGTTTACGTGACTTCCGTGACTGCGATGCCGGACTTTTGCACCGCATACGGACTGAACTGGGACTGATCCAGGTCCGAGACCAGAGCGGGACTGAGACCGGGACCAGACCGGGACCAGACCGGGACCAGGGCGGACTCCGAGCTTTGACTCCGAGCTTCCACGGGGTCCGAGCCTCAGTTTCGAGCTCCGGTCCTGCCGTGGGCTCTGAGCCTCCGGTCTGGTCCTGGTCTTTTCTCGGTCTCAGGCCCGCTCTGGTCCCGGTCTGGTCCCAGTCTCACCGCATACGGACTGAATCAGGATGGATCCTGATTCTGGTCCTCGGTGCTCAAGAACCGCGGCTGGTTCCGAGGTGGTGCAAAGCATCCAACTGACGCCTTCACACCAACGAAAACGAACCGAACTAAGAGCTTTTGGTTCAAATGGACCAGGTCCGGGACCAGAGTGCTACTGAGACTGGGACCAGACCAGGACCAGAGCGGGCCTGAGACCGAGACCGAGACAAGACCAGGACCAGACCTGGACCAGACCGGAGGCTCAGAGCCCACGGCAGGGCCGGAGCTCGAAGCTGAGGCTTGGACCCCGTGGAGGCTCGGAGTCAAAGCTCGGAGCCCGCCCTGGTCCCGCCCTGGTCCCGCCCTGGTCCCGGTCTGGTCCCGGTCTCAGTCCCGCTCTGGTCTCGGTCTGGTCTCGGACCTGGATCAGTCCCGGTTCAGTCCGTATGCGGTGCAAAAGTTTGGCATCGCAGTCACGGAAGTCACGTAAACGGGAAACGGCCGTTATCCGTTTTTTCCATTCTTCATTTAAACACAAAATCGAAAACTGAAAAAAACAAATCATTATCCATTTTTTCATTTTGGTTTTGGAGACAAATAACGAAGAAAACAGTTGTTTTTTCATTTTCTTATTTTTGGTTTTATATTGAAAAACGAATGAACGAATGATACACAGATTGAAATGGACTCTTTTTGGGCAGTTTGTCAACTATGAGCTAAAATGCCAATAATAACAACAATTTGCCAATATATTAAAGGTGCGTTGTTACTTTTCTGGTGCTTTTGTCTACTGATGATGTGGTTAATACTTTACTGTGGAATATTCCAAGCAAAGCCCCATCATCTCCATGGAGTCTAGCAAATGGCAGACTCCCCACCTGAAAAGTCACATCTTTAAATAGAAGATTAAAGGTACAATTATCTCATGGAAATGTTATTACCTTGTTTAGAATGTCCCACAGTATGACATTAAACTCAGGATCTGTTTACATGAGAATGCTTGCAGGTAAAAACGCCGAAATATTTTATTGAAAGTGCTAAGACGGTGATGCCATTTTTGGGGCCTAAAAACACAAAAATCTGTTGAATCCGCTCCGCCGTAGCGTTTCCGTCTACACTGCCCAAGACGCAAAACTCTGGTCAGATCTGCTCACGTCACGTACGCGTTTACGTCACATACATACAGTACACAGAAACAAACATGTCGGATCATTTCCATGCGTCGGACCCTCAAATTGGTCTGGCAGCTCTAATAAATTTACAGGAGACTCCCAACAAATGTACAGAATCTGCAGAGAGACTATTAGTGAACAGAGAAGGATCTACAATCACCTCTGTCAACTTCTGGATGCACCAGTTTGTCGCAGGTGAGCCACACTGCTATGGATGAGACCTGGAGAACCAGTCGATGATGGGACAACTTTGTGGAAGGAGGAGCTGATGAAAATGCGTGACGTGAAAACTTCCGTATGTCCAAAGACGCTCTTGTTGCTTTAAGTACAAACATACCCAATCGAATTCCACACACTTTTGCATCACTGTATGCACGCAGATTTCCTCCCGAAAACGCTCGTCTAAACACGGAAGAAAAAGTGAAGATGCGACGTCACTTTTGTGTCTTTTGTTCAGACCGTCATCATATAAACATACCCTCCTTTATTTCCATGGAGACAAGCCTGCAATCCCTCAAGGCCAAGTTGTAGGTCAAATCTGTTGAGAGGCAAGCTCACTCTCTGTAACTGAATAAATGCAACATGGATGAGTTTGATTGCAAACTGTGAAACATTTCAGGCAAAGCAATAATTTCTCCATGGAAATGAGCTTGTGAAAAGTTTACAACTTTGGATACTTAAATCTCACAGATACTGTCTGTCCTCCGGTTTGTTGTCTCGGTAAATTAGCAGATTAGTGTAGCAGTGATAGCCGGTGACCCCACAGACTTCAGGGCTGGTCTGAGTACCTCTTTTTTTTGGCTCCAGTCCAAAGACCGGCCCGGGACTCTTCAGTGAGAAAGTGCGACTCACGCTTCAGGAATGTGGTGTATAACGTGCAGCCGTGGAGCCCCTGGCTGTAATAACACCTGTGGCCTCATGGGAGCTGGAGTCTTTCAGGGCTGTGATGTTTTCTGAGGCGTGTTGAATACAGAAAGGTGAATGGACTCTTATGTTACACGGACCAAGGTCAGCAGTGATTTTTGAATTACGTCTTTTTTTATTACTCTTTTGAAATCTGACAAACAGCTCAAATATTTCTTCTATAAAACACGCTACGCTGGTCTAGAGCAGCGATTCCCAATCAGGAGTTCTGAAGTAATTGCCAGTTTGTATATCTGGATGATTTCATATTTAAAAGAAAGGTGTAATTTAGTAGTATTAGTAGTTTATTCAGTCATTTTGCAGCACTACAAAACAAAACATAGACTACAGCCCCGTGGATCATGACCGAAAGGGTTTAGGCTGAAGTAAAAATGACTTGTAATGCCTAATCCTGTTAAACAATGACAGAATTTCAACAAAGAAAGCAGCGTATGAACAGCAAGTTTGCGTTTACAATTTCACTTATGACTTATTGTATACATAAGAGACAAAATAGAAATTAAAACAAAAATTGTAAGCATAATTCATTCATTCCAGGGCGCTATATCTTTCAAAACATAACACTTTATACTTTTCTTTTTTTAAAGGCTTCTACAGTGTTAGACTTTTTTTTTTTTTTTTATCATCACTCGGGTTGTTCCATTTACTCACCCCTCTCACAAAAATATGTTAACTTTTTTTCTTGGTTTTTATCTTCATTTTTTTTAAAGATGCCTGTTTTTTTTTTGTCTCGTTTATGGTCGTACTAGTACTAAAGTTAACAAAGGCACAAAAGTTTATCATTTATGATCTTACAAAATAAACCCCAATGACAATGAAAAGATTTAAGGATTTTTTGTTTTCGTTTATGGTTGGACAAACTAATAATAATGATAAAGAAGGCACAAAATGTATTGTTTATGATTGTATTTTTAAAAAAAAGGCAATGTTGAAGAAAATGTTAAAGTAAATTGAGTTATTTTAATGTGAAATAGTCTCTGTTGTACATTTTGCATCCTTAATAAGAATATTTCTATAGGATAATTTTTACACAAGTTTATTAAAACAAGAAAATACATTAGTTGGCAGTAGCTGTAATGTAAATGGATTTATAATTACTAAAGACATATTTAAGAGGAGGGATGTAACAATAACTGAAATATCGTGATATCATATCGTAAAAAGTCTCACAATAATATCATGAGCTGACACAATATATCAAATTACAAGTTCTGTTGCTTAAATGCATTGTTTTATAGTAGTAACAGCTTGTAAACATTGGGAACTACATATCCCATGATTCATTTCAGTGCAGACAATATGAAGAAGTGTGGTTTTTACTTGAATTCTTGGGATTATGACAGTAATGATTCACACCAAAATCTTGTTAAGGTATTTTAAAAGCAAAAAAGTGTCCTTTCTGCTAGGGATGGGCATTCGATGAAATTTTCTTAATCGCTCATCGAGAGAATTAACGATTGATTATCGATTAATTATTAACATTTTTATATTAAAATGATCATCATTATTATTACTATCTGCCCTATTAATCTCCATAAATAAATTCAACTTTACGACAAATAAACCGTAACGACTCTAGAGCCACATCAGCCCGTTTAACATTATAATGTGTTTAATGCAGCTTTGTGCAACTCTCACAGAAATGAAACTTAAAACCGCATCGCTAATTTGCATAAACTAAGTGAAGGAGAAAAAAACAGCTCTTGTGTCGCTGATGCGGTTCAACTTCTGTCGGATTAAAAGACATGACTCAGGTGAATACAGGTTAGTGTGACCATATTTGCGTTTGTCAAAACCAGGACACCGTACGGGGGGAGGGAGGTGGAGACTCGTCATCGACATTGCGCGACTCTCACCTGGCAAAGCTTTTTCATGCTTTCGGTGTCCTGTTGAGCTTTTTCCCACTGGACACCGAAACATATGTGCTGCTTTATACACTGTGCACATGGCCTCTCACTTGTCTCGACCAGAACGGAAAGCGTGGAATTTCTTGTACAAGTCATCGTTAAATACGCATTTGCGTTTCGGTACGTTGCAGACTGACCGACTGTTTGTGTTTGCTCGCTCCTTCTGAGTGCAGAGAGACACATGTACAGACCCGTTTGGTCACGCTACACTACGCACAGCAACCTACATTCGGTTTGTTGATTAAAATGAACATAATCGATGAAATTCTTAATGATCAATTATCGAT